ACATCCAGTGCCCTTAATGAGTCTGCACTAAGAAAAATGTCCACTTGAATTCCAAAATAAACTCAGCTTTACATGTGCACAGAACTGACACACTCTACAAAGTACCTGAAAGGGTGTGCCCACTGCTTAGTGGAATAAAGAACTCCTGCCCTGTCATTTCCCTCTCAGAAGCTGTCCCTTGAAAGAGAAGGCAGCACTGTGAAAACAGAAGTAAAACTGAACTCAACCTACCAACATATGCACCCTGAACTATGTCTTTTTTTCAGAGCACAAATAAAACTTCCTACTTTTTTTGATATATAACCTCATAGAGCTTGCCTCTGCTTACTCCTAAATACATCTAAATACCCATCTAAATACATGCATTTTTTTTCGAGGTTTCATTTCTCACCTCTGAAACAACCCTCTAATGTTAGACCACATTTTAAACTCCGTAAAAAATAAATCAGAGAAAAGTAAAACTCTTTGAAAGTCATTTCCCTCTAGCTTAGTGCTTGCTTTAGTCTTGGTTGAAAACCAAGCCCAGAACATTTAAAACAAGATTTATGAATCAGGTTCTTTAGGATGAATGTTTTGCAATGCACCAGTGGTTAAAAATTAACTCTGACAGGTGTAGAAAGGCAGCGGGGAGAAAGAGTCATTTATTTTCCACTCTGGACTTCAAGGTGCAATATTAGACTTCAATTATGCTACATTAATGTTTCTGAAAATATCTGTGAAATCTGAAATATGTAAATATATGTATAATGGTTTTCATTCAAAGGCACCCAAGTCAAGTGGTCCTGTTTTTACCTTAGTTGCCCTACAGAAATCTACATTAGTTACCTACATATTAGTAGGGTAAACATAACACATGATGATTCAAGAAAACCTGCTGTTCAGCTTTAAATATTTTTAAAACTTTTAGTAACAAAGGGAACAGCACTTAATCTATGCTTAACCTTTCAAACCTTCGTTTCTCTCCACCTAGGGGAGAATCCTTATTTCTCTGGTTTGCTGGATGCATTGAAAGTGGGAAAGTTTATCAAAGAATAAAGAACAATTCATTTGGGTGATTATTATACTGTGCCTTGTTCTATGCTAGGAAGAGCTCAAAAGGAGAAGCTGCTTTTGTCCTTGAAAGATGTAGCTGAACGGATGAAACTGCCAGGAAGAACCATGGAATAGTTAAGGAGACGAGGGGCTTCAGGGCATAAATGTACTGCAGCAGTGACAACCTGTAAAAGCAGCAGGAGGACCACCTACTTAGGCACAGATGAAGTGAATGGCACCGTTTGGGGCTGCTGTGTACAGCTGTACATTTGTGTGCCGTGTAAAGGCACCTGGGCAAAGTGGCAGGAGGCGTGGACGCTAAAATCCAGGCTCCTCCACTCACCAAGCCACACAGAGAGGAACGGGCATCGTCCAAGGGCACCTTCCTCCCTCCAAGTGATGCTCCAACAGGGCATCAACTGCCCAGTGAGTGTTTCTTTTACATTTGCATTAAAGCTCCTCCTACAGGCTCCCAGAGGCCCAGCTCTGCTGGCAAGGTATGTGGGGTCAGTGGGGAGAATGGCCTCACAAGATTCCGACAGTACTCACCAGGAATAGTGAACTGAGGAGACAGAGCTGCAGAATGAGGCCAGCTCTGGCAAGGCCTTAAAAACTAGATTTGACACAACAGACAGTAGAGCCACATACTATAGTGTCATGAGCTGCCGTACTTATCACCTCATTTAATTCTCACAACCACCCCAGGAGAGAAGCATTATTCCCATTTTGCAGACTGGAAAAGTTTGGAAAGGCTGAGTTACTTGATGATGAACTTGGCAAGTAAGTAGCAAGAGTTGAGATTCAAACCCAGATCTATTTGACTCACATTGTTCTTTTCACTGTGCAACCAGAGGAGGGAGTGATTCGGAGCCTTATCCCGCAAGCTATAAAAATCGCATGTGGCTCTTTATGTGACCCAGAGGAGCAAATTTCACATATTTTTAGTTGATTACTTGCTGGAGACTTCAGAGGACTTTTTAACTGGATACGAAAAGCTCAAAACCCGGGCAGCAGGGGCAGCAGAGCAACAGGCTGGAGTGCGGGGCAGTCCTCCAGCAGACCCCGTTCGGGCACACGCAGGCTGGGTGGCACGGGTTGCAGCTCTCAAGCTCTACGGGCTTTAGTTCCTTCATGACCAAATGAAGAGCTGGACAATGCTTTCAACTCTGAGGTGCTGCTTTTTATGATACTGTCACTTAAAGTATTTACTGCTCTTTAATATCTGATAAAAACATCAAGCCATTGTTTTTGTACTTTGCAATTTATCTGGAATAAATCTTTGAAATTCCTTCAACTGAAATTCTATTTCTCCTTCCCTTATCCAAATTGTACCTATTATTCAAAGCCCATTTCAAGTCTTATTTTTTTTCTATGAGCCTTTTCTGTCTACTTCCTTACCCTAAAAAGTCATCAATCACATCCCTAAAATTCTTTTTGTACTTATAGTACACACCCTTCCTCCTAGTATTTAATTAGCTACTATGTGCTAATTAGATACTATGGGTCCTATTTGAATTGACACACTGCCTCAGTCATCATCGGTTTTGCCTATCATTTCAAGTTCTATCTGGTAAAAACTAGCGAAGATGTCTACCTGCCCCCTAATAGTCTTGCTCTCCCCTCCTACAAATATCCACGTATTTATTTCTATTCAAAATAATAAAGTTATTGCAAATAAATAAGTTATGACCATTTATGGGGTTGCATCAGTGTCGTGCTTCCAAAGTCTTCTGGTACTAGCACGTGCTGGGGCAATGACGGAAATGTCTGAGAAAATGTCACATTCCTACCAGGCCTAAGAAATAATTTCTCTAACCTTTCCTGAACATGGGTGTGTTCAGGATGAGGTGTTTTTCATGGGGTGGGTAGGATATTTTCACAAGCGAGAGACACTGAAGCATCCTTTTCATTCCAAGGGACCCACAGAATTTCCAGAACAGCTAAGAGGTATCACACACAGGGAAAAACGGTCCTAACTATGGTTTAAAATGACTTGGATTCAATTTTTTCGAAGAGCCTGCATGAATTCTGGGATGTTCTAGCGAATGTTCCAAGCTTTATCATTCTTCAACAGAGCTGATGGAACTAATCCACCTTTGAAACTGGCACACCAATTTCTTATAGACAAATATAGGTAGGATCTACGATATATCAAGCAGTTGTAAGTTTGCATTATGAAAATGGCTGCAGATAAATCTTTCCTTTGGCAGAATTAGGCTGAAACCGACAAAGATGGTTAACCCGTTTACACCAGTCAGACTCATTAAACTCTAGCACTGGTCCTACTACACCCCGTGTAGCAGAAATTCTCAAAAACTCTGTGATAAATTCATTTGTGGGTCTCAGTCACACCCCATCTGGCAGTTAGCTTCTGTGTCTCCCCTCACCAGAGGGGTAGCCGCTGAGAAGACCAGGACCACTGTGTAACCCTTCACCCCCCGCAGGGCCCAGCTCTTAGTCTGACAGATGGCCACATGAGTCAGGAGGAAGTGAAAGGTCGTGGCCTAGCCTTTGGCCCAGACTCCTGCTTTGTTCTTAGTAGCTGTCTTCCTTTCCCACCTGTGTGACTAGTCTAGGGGCGGTCATCAATGAATGGCTCTAGTGCCATGTTCCACACCTACCCTCCCCCCTCATCACGGGGTATTCTAACCCATCACTGCTCTCTTTCCTGCTGATCCCAAAGGCGGCCTCTGAATACCAGCACAGAGCTCCAACATTCATTAACAAATGATCCCAGCAGTCACAGGAGGTGAAACTTCGGGCCGCCCCCTGGACTAAAGTCCCAGGCCGTACCTGTCGATAGACTTCTGTGATGCAGTTTACCTATAATTCAGGGTCTCCCTGATGAACATCTTGCTTGCTGTGATGTGGAACACTTGGATCACTTCATGCACGCGTACCTTATATACCACCTCTCCTGCCTCTCTCACCTCTGGATACCATATTTTGGGCCTGTCCACAGAAGCCCTTCCCAACACCTGCTCAATGTATCTCAACCCTACAGGTGGGTTTTCAGTGTAGGCCTTTGCCTCTCTCAGTCTGCCCCATTCAAATGCAAACAACCAAACCTGGCCATGGAACATCTGAAAAAGCACAACTTAAATGTTCACTGCATGACACGGATAACTGGGTCCCCATGCCTGCTCATACAGAGATAAATCTGGTAACTTGCATGAGTTACTGATCATAAACAATACATTTGTGATATTTTATTTAAATTCTGGGCATAAATTAAGACTAAAAGCAATACCTTTTATTGGTCCTAAGACTCCACTTACAAGATCCTAATCAGTACTGTAAATAGCAAGCCTCTATTTGCTTTTAACCAGTATATAACCAAAGTAAGGTTGTTTAGGCTTTCCACAGTAGAAGAAAAATACATCAGCTTAATTTAAATCCACTGCTAACATCGTCTACGTTTCCTGCTTTGTTAAATGGTTAGTTGAATGCCAGCCTACTTTCAAAGAAGTGTCTGGCTCGCTTTAACTTGCTGCAGTGAACACCCTGGTTTCATACTGCTTGCATTATTGAAAATGTTTATTTCAATAGACATTTCTCACCATACCTGCTTCCAAAAGACACATTCCCAAATACTTTAAATTATATAGTAATTATAAATCCCCTACTTTCTAAATATTAGAAAGAAAAAAATGTCAACTAAAATTTTTGTAACTCCAAAATTTATGTAACAACTAGAAGCATAAACGATGAGGGGAACAGGGGGCTCTCCCAAAAAGTCTCATCTAAAACTGAGATTATTTAAAATCCACAAATACTGAACTCTGGATAGTATTTACCATGTACACTACCACTCAGCTATTTTTTTCTTTAAATCACAAGATAACATTTTACTATGCATCTCAATTCTACCAGAAACTCATGTTATTTCAGATGAAGTCTAAAGCCACCATTTTTCAAGCTCTAAAAACTGAACAATGAAAGAATTTTAAACGTTCAAAAGGCATTACCTGGTGCAGGCTGTCGTTCACTCCATTCCGTTGAGATTAAAATTTCTATAATTTTTATGAGGTGTTCAGTATTCTCGGAGCTACCAGGAAAAAAAAAAAAAAGTTGTGTTAGAAACCTTTCCCCAAACAACAAACTCATTTTCATTTATACGCATTCAAGTGTACACATGCGTCTGTGAACTTGCATCTTTAGAATAAGTTTAATGACCAATCAACCTTGGACTAGCTTCATCCCCACAAAATACATGTTTCTCCCCTTTCACTTACCTGGCTGCTGGGAACCTGAAAAGCAGAGGGCTGAAAAGTTCGGAGAGGACTCTTGCAGTCAAAAGATTTTTGCTGGAGGTTTGGGAGAGCTTGAAGAAATGTTTTAGCAAATACTGAAGTGTAAGCCAATACTGATGAGGTATGTTAGGTGACCTAATGAGCTTCTTCAACAGCTGGATATAGTCTTCGGAGCTTTGTACTTCTACAAGTTAGAAAGAAAAAAGAATAAGAGACTGTTTCTAGGTATCAGTGAATAAACACCTAGAAATTTTCTGTTCTTCTAGCTGTAGGAGTCATTTAAAACAAAGTCATCAGAAGAAGCAGACAGTACATTTGTTCTTCTCACTAGAAAAGGCATTGTGAGAAAGTAGAAATTTCAAGTCAAATGGAAATGCAAGAAACTCTTGGTGTAAAAAACCACAAGAGGTTCAGGGCGTGCTGGCAGAAATCTGCCCTCTGTCGAGCAGCTGCGAGTGTGATTGGCTAATTCAGAGGAGCAGCAGATAAGTATCACAGGTTTTAACTTTGAAGGTTACAAACCACAATTTCCTGTCCCCAAAGCACTTTAACTGAGCATTAGCTCCTAAAACTGACAGTCCTCTTCCCTCAACACTTTTGTAAGGGCCACGTGAAGGAGATGATAAGAACATCCCCAGTCACGGGTCCTAGCCTCGGTTCCCTAAACCCAGTGGTGGTACATGGAACACTATGGCCTTCACTGATGCAGTGAACTCTATTGATACTGATAAAGGTTAACAATTAGCCATCTTGACATGTGGACAGCCTTCCTAAGCAAACGAGAATCTGGGTCTTCTATTGGATGCCCTGGTAATGGAGGGAAGTTGTGCTGGTCAGGGCGATGGTGGTGAGTGGGGGAAAGGATGGCAGGTTCGACGAAATATCTTCTAAAACTTCTCTCTTTATATGCGACACTTCATAGTTTTGCATATAACTATCCACATCTCAATATATGTTCAATAAGGTTCTCAGAAGAGAAAACAAACCTTGGGCTAAAGAAATCATTTCATTGTAAACAGCTACTGGAATGACAGGGTTTGGTAAGTCCAGGAGATAGCGTTTGAAAGCGTCTGCTAAAACTTGAACATCGATTGTTTCCAAGTCCACGGAGGCGGCATCTACGATAGAAACATTAAAAAAACTATTTCAGACATTTTATACATGGGTCGGGCCAATTTTCTGAACGTGTGACTTATATGTGACACATGAAAAGAAGCAAAGAAGATGAATATGAGATACTTGAGTAAGTATTAGCAGGGTTTCTCACAGAGGTTGCTCCTGGCATTTCGAATAGAACAATTTTTCTTTGTGTAGGTCTCTCCCCAATGCTGTAAGCATGTTCCTAGACTTTCAGACAACAAAAAGTAGTTGTCCCCCCACAATTCATAAGTGGAAGCCCTAAATCTCAGTACCTCAGAATGTAACTGTATTTGGAGACAGGGCCTTTAAAGAGGTGGTTAAGTTAAAATGAGGCCCTTAGGGTGGGCCCTTATCCAATTCAACTGGTATCCTTACAAGAAGAGGAAATTTGGACATAATAAGAGATATCCGAGGTGCATGCACAGAAGAAATGTGATGTGAGGACATAGAAGGCGGCCATCTGTAAGCCAAGAAGGGGGCCCTCAGGAGAAACCAAACCTGCCTTGATCGGGGACTTCTAGCCTCGAGAACACTGAAAAAATTGGTTTCTATTTTTTAAGCCACCCAGTCTGTGGGATTTTGTTACGGCAGCCCTAGCAAACTAATATAGCCCTGGAAAACATTTCCGGATACCTTCTGGAGGGTGGTTCTGCCCTGATGAAGAAAAGTTCTGCCTAGGGATGGTTAATCATATAATAAATGCTTCCTAAAACCTCAACAGGAAAACATGAAATGCAAATCCATAGATTTCCTAAAATCTGAGTTGCTAGATACTGCATCTCAGAATTAATATAAATTGAATCCAACAGAGTGACTAATTAAAGAATCAAATATAGAATTTTAGCAGCCGATCTAAAAAATATCCATAAAAATAATTTCAAATCTTTAGAATGTTTCCCCCTAATGCTGACAGGGTATTCTGATTCGGGTATTACTAATCTAAGCTGTGTCCACCGAACTATCTCAGAAGAATGATGAGCATATCTGTCCAGTAAATCCTTCAGCTGGAGAAGCGGTCAGGCAATTCAATGAGGAGGTGATATGAATCAAATCAGAGCCACTCTCTGAGTACTTGGGAGAGAGAAATGCACAGTACTCGGCAAAAAGAAGAGATACTGGGGGCAGGGATGCCCACAGGCCTCGAGCAACGAGGTATCCGGCTGCTGCTGAAGGATGCTCACCAGCGACTTGAAGGTTAACCTGAGGAGAATTACCTGGAGACTTGGGAACCCAGAGAAGAAAAGGTGAGCTGATGAACAAAATGTTTCATTATTAAACAGCTTTATTAACTGTGGTGTAAAAAATGAGTTGGAAAGGAAAGCTGCTGGAAGTAAAGCTAACACTTGGTAATTTGAATTCTAATACAGCTAGAAATATCAAGAACTAACATAACTTGGTGACTGACTGGATGGGGTTGTGGCCTAGGAGAGAACGAGAAAGAATCAAAGCTGACTCCAGGGTGTTTGAGCACAAGTAGGAGATGGTGGAATCCTGGAAACTGTGAAGCAAGTGTGATTTTATAAATCACTCCAGGTTGAGCCTGAAGCTACGAGAGTTCCTTGGACACATCCTAATAATCCAAACTTGCCCCACTAACTAGGCGATTACTGGGAAAGGTAAACACCGTAAAGCTCAGAAAAGGCTGTCTCACAGAAAATGTGGATAGGTTAGTTTGAGGAAATGAATGATTAAACTTAAAAGGTGGAGGAAGAGGCAAGGGTTAAATCACTGAAATGTCATACAAAGAACTAACCAGAGACATATCACATCTCTGGTAAGCACAGGAAAAGGCAACACTAGGTCTTTGCATAAGGGATCCACCTTGAAAGTAACGCGACTGCTAGCGGGATGGCAAACGTGTGTGCACCGCCACAGGAACACCCCACAGCCCCTGCCTGCTGGGCAAGCTGCTGCCCCTGCACGCTTTGCTGCTGTATGCTTCACGTACTACGTCTTTTGTGTGTGTGTGTGTGTGTGTGTGTGTGTGTGTGTGAAGTCCTGTAGTTTTTTTTTTAATATTTCATATATTTACACATTTTTTTCAATTACAGTTGATATTCAGTATTATTTTATATTAGTTTCAAGAGCACGGCATAGTGCATATACTATGTCACTTTGCCAGCAAATTAGTGCTACTTAATTTGCTCATCCTAAAAAAGGTGAAAAACCATTCAGTGATGGGGTATAAACATTAAAACATTAAATATTCCACATGTCCCTCCCTCAGGCAGGGTTTCTGTGCCAGGGCAGAGCTGATGAGCCACACCTCACCTCTATCGTGACACTCCCAGACAGTACACTAACGACGTGTCTCCCCACTAGACTGAGAGTACTTTAGTGGCCCAGACTGTGGCTCTTACGTGCTCCTCTCACTTCCCCCAGTCTCCAGCACTTATCTTGTGTCTGTTAAATGTTTGTGGACTGAACTATAAACACTCTTTAGAGGAGGGTTTTGGTGAATTAATATTACTCTAACACATGAGGTGTGTCTCAAAGAGCCTTTAGTGCCTTTGAATAAAATAACCTTATTTCAAGTCTTTGGATAAGTTTTGCATAAGCTCACTTTATATCAAACTCCACTGGACATAGTATTTGACATAGTATGTTCTATATATATATATTTAATTTAACTTCTAAAGCTTGGAGTTTCTGACTTCAAGTCCTGTGTCTCCTTTTTTCCATTAAAGCTCTTCCAAGAGCTATCCATGTCTGTCACGTGATGACTTTTGAAGCCAGCTAGGTGAGAGCTATACAACCTTTAGGTCTTGGGTGGGGGGATTTACATCCTCTTCTACCCCACTGAGTCTACTCATGACAGGTAACCAGGAAACTCTCCAACACTTTACCTCCAACTGGAAAGGCATCCCCTCAGCTGATCTCTATTTATATTAGTAGTTCTCAGTTCAAAATTCAGGGATTTGAATTTTTCTGCCCCACCCTAACCCCCACCAGGCATCTGGCAATGTCTGGAGACATTTTTTATTGTCATGCTTGGAAGACAATGGCATCTAGTGAGTAGAGGCCAGAGATGCTGCTAAACATCCTACAATGTACAGGACAGCCCCCATGACAAAAAATTATCCATCCTAAAATGTCAATAGTGCTGAGGTTGAAAAAGGCTGATTTTTACAAACTGCAATATAATTGACATATACCATTATACTAGTTTCAGGTGTACAACAAAATGATTTGATATTTGCATATATTGTGAAATGATCACCACAATGTCTAGTTAAAAAATTTTTTTCTTGTGATGAACTTTTTAAAAAAAGATCTGATTCAGGTTAAGGGAAACCAAAAACAATCAGGAGAAAATTCACACCATTAAAATTCAAATGAGATGAGAAAGAAATAATTCATTTTAGGGCAATATAATGAAAAAAAAAGACTTTTGGAGTCAGAACAATTTGGGTGTAAGTCACAGCTCTGCCATCAGCAGTAACTAATACTCATATCACAAAATTAATGTATGGATGAAATAAAATAACTTAGTATATGCTAAGAAAAGTGGGCTGCTCTCTTCCATGTCTGTCCTTTTCAGACACTGGTAATTTACAGGGTTGGTTAAAAAGATATTTTTTTAAGTATAAGTGACTTATCTCTGAGCTTCTTCCAGGATACTACAATATTTTTATGAATTGAGAGATCCTCAAGCTGAAAACAGTCCTGGAGAATACACTCCTAAATTTAGATAATGTTTACTTTTTTTTTTGCCACAAAATTCACTTTTATAGCACAGACTCCAAGTGAAACCAGTGTTCTACGTGTGTGTTTTGATCTCAAACGAGGAAAGAAAGCTGTCTGTCAAAATATATTGTTGACGTGAGTTTTGGTTATTTATTCCATCTCACAGGTGGTGTGAAGATTTTTTTAAAGCTAAACTGCATTGTTTTGCATTTGGTCACATTTAAAGACTCAACCACTATTTCTCAAATAGCTTCCATTTCATAGGTCTTTGATGTCTAAACATTTCCTTTGACTTTTAACATGATCAACTTGACCGATTTTTCTGACCAAAACATGTATTGCTATTTCAATTGGCTAAGGACAAAATTCAGTGTTTCCTTAACACCCAGTTAAAGCTGCTAATGCCAGTCAATGTCTGATGACGTACGGTGGGTAAGACAGGAGACACAGTGGTAAGAGGATGTGCTGTGTGTGTGCATGTGAGGCTGATTTCCACATACAACAGAAACAAAATGAAAGTTTAGAAACATTTTTAAAGCTTCAAACATTTGCGTGGTGCATTTTGAGTGAGATCATTGACTGATAAAGATCTAATCTCCTTTTTTCCTCTGAAACATCTTTTCTAAAAATTTTCATTAGCTGCCTCACTTTGAAGCTGCCTCATGCTTCAAATTTTCATTTATTAAATATCATGTGGGCATTCTTTGCACAATTACATGTTTGAAAGAAATTCTTCCAAAACTGGGTTTCACTCCATTTGGTTCAAACATTCATCAGTTAAAGTAATGTGAGGCAGAAAATTATTTTTCTAAAAAACAAAAAGTATTGGAAGGGAATGAAGGATCTGAGAGATTCTAGAAGTTGATATAGAAGATGACTTGCTGGAATGATTACAAGTAAATTTATTCACATTGGTATAGTTCTATTCTGTATGGCAAAGGAAGGAGGAGACAAATAATAAAGTAAGTCACCAGTTGGTTGAATTAATTGATGCCATTTAACCAATGTTGTGCTGCAGCTGGCTTGTACTCACTCACGAGGGCCAATTGTGCTCAATTCTGCCCAAGTTGGAGTTCAGTGATAACATGTTGGGAGCTTGAAATCGACCATGCTGGGAATAATCACATCACAGAAATGGGCAAATGTGGCAAACTAGAGCTCCACAGCCCTCATCCCAGAATTGGTTTACCAACATACCGTGGAATATAACAATACCATGATGCTACTTAATGTAAATATGGCAAGCAAGACAGAAAGGAAGGAAGCAAGACAGAAAGGAAGGAAAGGGAAAAAGATGGAAAGGGAAAAAGGGAAAAGGTCACAAGCGACATTTGGTAAATGACATAGACTTGTAAAATATTTTTTAAACTGATCCAGATGAATTAGATGTAGCCAACTGCAGGGTCAGAGAAAGATGGAAGATATTTGGAGCCAGAGAAATCCCAAGAGGCTGTTTCTTTCCTCTGCCATTCCGGCAGGACCCAGAGGCTCCTGGCTGTGATGGAGGCCAACAGGCCTGCAGGCGATGTGCACACACACCCCAGTTCGGGAGACAAACGTCAGAGGCCTGCACTATTACCTTAATAGGGCAGAGGGGGCTGTGCTTGCTTTCTGAGCTGCCTTCCAACTTAGAACATTGCATGGTTAAGTTCAAGTTTTGTGTGCTTTACCTGAAACAGAAGGTAAGAACT